ATTGTGCCCGCCCCAAAAGAAAAGCCTAGGTTGAAGTCCTGACCCCGTTCCTGTGAATGTGACTTTATTTTGGAAGAAGGTCCCTGAAGATGTAACCAAGTCAGTTTGAAGTCATGAGGGTGGACCCTAATCCAATAAAACTGGTGTCTTTAGAAGAAGAGGAGAGGACTGAGGCTGGGCTCAGTGGCTCACGCCTGTAATCCCAATGCTTTGGGAGGCTGAGGTGGGTGGGTCGCCTGAGGTCAGGAGTTTGAAACCAGCCAGGCCAATATGGTGAAACTTCATCTCTACTAATACTAATACAAAAATTAGCTGGGCGTGGTAGCACATGTCTGTAATCCCAGCAACTAGGGAGGCTGAGGCAGGAGGATCTCTTGAACCCAGGCGGTGGAGGCTGCAGTGAGCTGAGATCATGCCATTGCACTCCAGCCTGGGCAACAAGAGTAAACTCCATCTCAAAAAGAAAAAAAAAAGAGGACAGAGACACACACAGGGAAAAGAAAGCTGTGAACCTGGAGGCAGAGTTTGGAGTGATGCAGCTGTAAGCCAAGGAATGTCAAGGACGAAACAGCTGCCACCCGGGGCTGAAAAGAGACAAAGGAGGATTCTACACAGGGTCTCAGAGGGAGCAGGACCCCGTCAACACCTTGATTTTTAAACTTCTGACCTCCAGAGCTGGGAGAGAAGAAATTCCCATCGTCTCAAGCCATGCAGTTCATGGTACTTTGTTAGGGCCGGCCCCAGGACACTACAACAGGGAGAGAGGGAGGATCTGGCACAACAGACTGAGAATGGCTAACTGGACTACCAGGATGCCCAGGAGAAAGTGCTGACAGCCCCAGCTCACTCACCGGCCCGGTAGACCTGGCTTTGCGTTGGAGTCCCTGGCTGGTCCCCCAGCATGGGCAGGATCCGAAAAGTCCAGGTCCCTGGGTTCCGAGACGGAAGGGGCACCACGGCTGACCGCTCCTGAGGCCCCAGGATAAGCAGGGAGACCCAGTCCTTGTAGGTGGAAGTTCTGCCCAGATCAGGCCCATCTGGCCATGCCTGGATCTCAAAACTGCTGATCAGGGCCCCTCGCTCCACATCCCAAGTCAGCACAGCTGCATCTTGGGCTCTCTGAAGCCTCCATGAGGATATGGAGGGTCCTAGAGAGATGTGGGGGAGGCTGGATTCGTGGGTCCCAGAGGGGAGAGGGAAGGGAGGTAGGGAGCTGTGGTCCTGAAGGGAGGGGTCTGAAGGAGGAGGGGCTGGGGGCCCAGACTTCTGGGTCTGAGGGAGGAAGGCCTGGGGGCCTGGACTCCTGGGTCTGAGAGAGGAGGGGTTGTGGGCCTGGATCCGAGATCTGAGGGAGGAAAGGTCTGGGGCCTGAACTTCTGGGTCTGAGGGCTAGAGGGGCCTGGACTTCTGGGTTCTTGGAAATAACCTGGCTCACCAATGAGGGTGATCTGGTCACCGCCAGCACCCAGCGCCCCACTGCACAGCACGGAGTAATTTCCCAGGTCCCAATCCAGGCTGAAGTTGCCGATGAGGAGCTTCCGCCCGTCTTGACTGAACCGCAGGCGACTCCCGCCTCCTGGAGCAAGGGGCCGCCCTTCCCGGGCCCAGGATGCCCGTGAGGGTGGGGGACAACCAGAGGCTTCCAGTGCCACCTCTGCCTCCCCTGACCGTGTCTCTGCCACCAGCGGATGCAGCAGCACCTCTCGGGGGGCCTCTGCAGGTAGGAGAAGCCGAGTCAAGAAAGTCGACTTCACCTTAGATTCAAAGAACAGGTCCTATGCCCTATTTTAAATCAGATGGTGATAAGCCCTGGTGCTCTGGCCACCTGAGAAAGAACTGCCAATTCGCTCACTCATTAGCTCATTTATTCATTATCTAATTTCCTCATCAAACACTGATTGAACACATACCATAGGGGCGGGCCCTGTACTGAGAAACTAATATTCTTCTCAGCTATTCATTCTTCTTTATTATTATTTTATAGTTATAATAATTACAAGACTGGGTCTTGCCACACTGCCTAGGCTGGCTTGAAATCCGAGATTCAAGCGATCCGCCCCCCCACCCCCCGCCCCCGACTACCAAAGTGCTTCGATTATGGCCCCCAGCCTAGTTACTCTCTAAAACATCACTGCTTTGGCTGGGCACTCATGCCTGTAATCCCAGCACTTCGGGTGGCCGAGGCAAGGGAGGTCAGGAGTTTGAAACCAGCCTTGACCAACATGGTGAAACTCCGTCTCTACTAAAAATACAAAAAAAAAAAAAAAAAAAAAAAAAACTTGGCTGGGCATCATGGCATCTGTCTGTAATCCCAGCTACCACGGAGACTGAAGCAGGCAAATCACTTGAACCTGGGAGGTGGAGGTTGCAGTGAGCCGTGATTGAGCCACTGCACTCCAGCCTGAGCGTCAGAGCAAGACTCCCTCTCAAAACAAATCAAAACAAACAAAATAAAAAACAAAACCATCACTGCTTTATCCCTCTGAACACGTGGGAAAGTGATGGCCTTCTACACCCGTCCCTGCACCCCCCCACCATGAGGTATAGAAAAAACGTCCCTTTTCTAGTTTGAAGAAAGTTTAGTCCTACCTCTTTCTTGGTCTAAGGAGGTACCCCATACCCCTTCAGAATTTCCAAAGGACCAAAGAAAAAGTCTCTCTCCTCCTCGAGAAACAGACAGCACAAAAGCCCCGCGCCCTCTCACCCAGGATGACTGTGCAGGTACGCGTGGCCACCAGGTGGCGAGCAAGGCAGGTGATGGGGACGCCGGTGAGCCGGGGGTGGGCGGGGACGGCGGCCAGCAGCACGGAGGACACCGGCCCGGCACGGATGCCTTCAGGAAGACCCTGGAACTGCAAAGAGGCGGCAGGGACCCCGCCGGGCCACGAGCAGCGGAAGCGGAGGCTGCGGTCCCCGGGACCCCCTTCGACGGAGCACTGAGGGGCCCCGGGGGGCAGGTCTGCGGAGGGAAGGGTAAGAACGAAGACAGAGTCCCTCTCCCGTCTCTTCTCCAGCCCCGCCTCTCCGCGCGGTGACCCCACCCTTCTCCACTAGCCTCGCCCTATAGGTGCTCACACCTCCCACCTGCGATCCCCTTCCCTTTCCCAGTTAACTACTCCGCTAAGTGGGTAGCCCGAAGCCCCGCTGACTGCTCAACTTTCTTAAGAAAACTGCATCTTCATACAATGATTTTTTTCTTCCTAAACGTAACTCAGCCTTTTCCTTTCCAGCTCCACTCCTTCTGCCAGGTTTCTTCGCCGCCTCCTGGATTGCTCTCCGAGAACCCTTCTTTTCCTAGATATCTCGCCCTTCCTTATGGACCCCGTCCCCTTTCTAAGATAGTTCTACCCGCTTTCCAAATGACCTCGCCCCTTTCCCTTGTGACTACGCCCCTCTTCGCAGGTACCTTCTCCCTTTGCTGATCCCACTTACCGGCCCAGGCAACTTAGTTCTTTCCCTTTCTAACTCCCACTCTTTACCATTTAACTCCGCTGTCGACTTTGTTGAGAGTGCCCCTTGCCTAGGAATGTCCGACCTCTCAGTGCTGGGCCGGCCCCTCTGTCCTGGTCGTACCTGCCACTCCATTTGATTCCCTCCCTTGTCCTCTTTCTGGCCCCGCCCCTTACACTAGGTATCTCCGCCCCTTCTCGCTGGCCCCGCCCACAACAAGTATCCTTCCTCCTTCTTGGTGACCCCGCCCCCACAGTGGCCCTGCCCCACCCACCGGTATACTGCTGGTCGCTGGCCCCGCCCCTTTCGTTTAGCCCCGCCCCTTCCCACCCCTTTCCACCCCACTCCCCGGGATTCCCGCCCCTGGCTCCCACCTGCCACTGTGAGGTTGAGCAGCGAGCGGCGGCGACGGCTGGTGCGCGGGTTCGCAGCCAGGCAGGCGTAGGTGCCTGCGTGTCCCGGCCCGACCGCGGGCAGCAGGAGGCGCGGCCCAGCGGGCACTGCGGCCTCGGCCGGGTCCGCCAGGCTCCACGCTATGTCGGCGGGCGGCCGCGAGGAGGCGGCGCAGCGCAAGGTCACGTTGCTGCCCACAGTGACGAAGAGGGCAGGTGCGGCGTCGCGGTCCGAGGAGACCGTGATGATCGGCGGGTCCGGGCCGTCTGGAGAGAGGAGGGGTCGGGACCGCGAGTGTCGGGGTCACCTGGGACTCCGCTAGGACTCCCGGAGACTCGGCCCCCAGGACCCCCTGTCCCCGACCCGAGGCACCCCCACTTACAGAAGACGCTGACGTCGGCGGCAGCCTCCCGGTGGCCGAAGGGGCTGCGGACGCGGCAAGTGTACCGGGCGTGGTCGCTGCGCACAGGGCGCGTGATGACCAGCTGGTCTCCCTCTAAGCGGATCCGGGGCGGCTCGGCTCCTTCGGGGTCCGCCGCCTCAAGGGCTCGTCCGTCCTGGCTCCAGCTCAGCTCCCCACGACCCGGCCTCCACCCCAGGCAGCGCAGCCGGAGCTCCGCCGCCCCCTCTTCTGTTTCTGGGGCCTTGGGCTGAACCGACAGCTGGGGTAGGGGTTCTGGGAGAGGGAGAACGGGCTCAGGACCCTGTCCGGGAGCCCATCTTTGGTCCCCTCCTCTCTTACACCTAAGACTTCCGGCCCCAGCAGCTGCTCCCTTTAAGCGGCTGGAGTCCCGAGCCCAATCCCTCTCCTCCCACAAACCCATGAGTCTGAGCCCCCAGCCCTCTCCTCTCCAGGACCCATGAGTTTGCCAGAGGGGTCCCCCGGCCTCCTCCTCCTCCCTCAAACCCAGGAGTCCAAGCCCCCAGGAGTCTCGATCCCAGGTCCAACTTTGCACAAACACCCCTGCCTTGACCCCTAGCTCTTTTCCTCGCTTCCTCAAGCCAGGAGTCCTCTTCTCCCATCCGGTGACCCCTTTCTCCAGGAAGGAAACGTCCTCAGAACAGCACCGTGACTTGCCCAAGGCCTAGCAGAGCAGAGCAGCCCCTGCCTCCTGCACTTTGGACCCCAGGGCCCACTTACCATACACACCCACAGTGAACTCCTGAGTCTGCCGGGAGACCCCTGCCCGGATGACCTCAGCCGTGTAGACCCCTGCATCATCCAGCTGGGCAGAGGAGAGCTCCAGAACCCCCCGGGCCTGGTCAAATCGCAGGCGGTCTCGGTGAGCAGGGTCCAGGCTGATCAGAGGTGCCCCTGCCCCCAGGCCACCAGCTGCCAGCACCTTAGAGCCCCGGCGCCAGACCACCAGAGGAGCAGGGGGCCCAGGGCTGGGGACTGGGACCAGGGGAAGCCAGATGGTGGTCCCCACCAGCACAGCGAGTGGGCCCCCCACCTGCTGGGGGACGCTTGCAGCTGAGTGGGTCTCTGCAGAAAGACTGGATTCAGGGCTCTGGGCAGAGAGTTTAAGATCCATGTCACCAGGGGAGAATTTTGAATCCGGGGCCTCAACAGACACTTTGGTATCGGGGACTTGAATAGAAATGTTTGAAGGTGGGGTCTTAACGGAGAAGGTAGGCTTGGGGCCTTTGGCAGGAACCTGAGGATCCGAAACACCAGGAAATACTTCAGAACCAGGGGTTTCAGAGGAGGAATCCAGGCTCAAATCCTGGCCGTCAGCAGAAACATTTGACCAGAAGGATCCAGACATGTTGTTGGAACTCAGGGCCTCAGGAAACCAGCTGGAATCAGAGATTCCAGCAGAGCCTTTTGAATCCAGGGACTGATCTGGAAATTTCCAGCTGGGAGGTTTGATGGAGGGAACTTCTGCACGCAGCCCCTGCGAAGAGCTCTTTGAGTCCGAAGAGAAGGAAGAGGAGTAGTTGGTTTGCTGAAGTCCAGAAGAGAATCTGAGGGTGAGAACCCCTACCAAGGAGGCTGCAGAGAAGAGGGGAAGGCATTGGGGGAGGCTGCTCAGGGAGACTGGCTGGGAGGGGACTGTGCAGGAAACTTACCCAGGAGAAAGAAGAGTGGCAGAGCCTGTGGGGTGTCCATGGTGCTGGCCTTACTGAAAGGACACTGGAGCAAGACCCAGGACTGCACCTCTCCCTCCCGGATGAGACAAGTCTAACAGGACTGGTAGCTTAGCTTCCTGGGAGGGGAAGGGAGCCAGACCCAGAGGGAGGTGCCAGGATCCCCAACCCTGATGTGGTGGCTGAGCTGCCCACCCCACCCCATTCTCTTCATTAGCTGGTCCCACCTGCAGGGAGGCTCAGCCTGATCCCTGCACTCCCCACCCACAGGTGGAAAATGAAGTAAAAATTCCCAGGTAAAAATGTGGTAGCAAATTTGTGGGGCAAAGCCAGGAAGACTTCCTGGAGGAGGGTGAGGAGACCTTTCTCAGAGCCCCACCTCTGAGGGCCACAGCCTCCTGGCCCCTTCCACTCTGTCTTGCCTGCAGCCTCAGATACCCACATCTAATCCTGCTCCTCCTCTGCTCTAAACCCTCCCATGGCTCTCTGTTGCCCTCAGAACCAAGTCTCCAGGTGCTATTTCCTGCCAGGGCCTCTATCCTGAGATCAGAGCTGCATTTCTGCATCCCCAAGGCCCTCATATGGCCTGTGTCCTGCTAAACTCAGAATCTTTCCTCTAACCCAAACTTCCTCCTACCTCCAGAATGGCTTCACCATCTTTGAAAACGCTGGGAAACATTCCCATCTCCTCCCTCCCCCTCACCACTGTCAGTCTGAGTCCCACCCCTCCTACCTCCTGAACCTCTCTGTCCTTTCTCCTCCTCTTAGTTCTCACTGCCCAGGCCCTGTCCTCTCTCCCTGCCTCTTCCAGTCCCTGCCAGCGTCCTTCACCGGGAGCTGAACCTGCCCTCCCCTGCTCACAGCCCTCCCCTGGCTCCTCAGTGCCCTCTGGAGACATCCAAGCTCCAAAGCAAACCCAACCACACACCCACCCCAGCACTTAAACATCCTGACGTTCTTATCCTGCCTCCCATCTCACCTCCCAGTCCTCTACCTGGAATGCTCTCTCCCACTCTCCACCTCCCTCCAACCTGGCTAAAATACAACTTGTCCTTCAGGTCTCACCTTACTAAGAACCATGATAATTACCACTTAGTTTGCGCCAGGAACTATGCTAAATGTTTCGTATGCATCATCGGACTCAACCCTTCCAAACACCCGATGAGCTGAGTGTCATTATCCTCACTTTACAGGCCAAGTGACTTAGGCTCAGAGAGGTCAAGGGACCTGCAGGAGGTTTCACAGTCAGAGGGAGAAGCTGGACTTGGGAAAAGGATGGTCAGACCATTGACTCCTGATAGCTTTTCCTACCATCCCATGCTGAGCTTAGGGTCTCTGCTCAGCTCCCAGTCCTCTGAGCTTACCGGTACAGTTCTCACCATGCTGGGGTAATCATACCAGTAATAACATATATATTTCTTGAGATGGAGTCTCGCTCTGTCGCCAAGGCTGGAGTGCAGTGGCACAATTTCGGCTCACTGCAGCCTTCGTCTCGTGGGTTCAAGTAATTCTCCTGCCTCAGTCTCTGGAACAGCTGAGATAACAGGCGTGCACCAACACACCTGGCTAATTGTTGTATTTTTAGTAAAGATGGGGTTTCACCATGTTGGCCAGGCTGATCTTAAATTCCTGACCTCAGGTGATCTGCTCCCCTAAGCCTCCCGAAGTGCTGGGATTACAGGTATGAGCCACCATGCCAGACCTAAAGCTGGTAATAATATATATTTATCATTTTTTGGATAGCAGGTGTGGTTCTGGGGGTGCTACACAAATTAGCCTTTCAAAACTCCATGGAGTAGATTATGTAGCTTAAAGAGGGCCGCAAATTTGAGCCTCCTGCCATTAAGATGCGGGGTCTATGTCCCCAGTCCTTGGATCTGAATAGGCTCTGTGACTGCTAGACCAAGAGGTCCAGCGTGGAAGGGACCCTGTGTCAGGGTCTACATCTAGGCCAGCACATGCCACTTTCTGTAACATTGGACATTCCCTCATGGAACCCAGCACCCACACTGTGAGGAAACTTAAGCAGCACCATGGAGGGGAATCATGGCCCCTGGTCAGCAGCCCCAGCCAGCTTGCTGGCCATGTGGGTGAGCCCATTGAAGTCAATCCCCTGACCGCATTTGAGCCGCCCAAACTGATCCTGCATGGAGGAGAGACAAGCTCTCCCTGCTGAGCCCTGCCCAGATTCCAGACTTAAGAGCACAATAAGCAAGTGTTATTTTAAGCCACCAAGTTTTGGGATGGTCACAGCAGAACAGACAACCAGAATGTAGGTATCGCTAATTCCATCTGATAGAGGAAGAAACAGGCTCAGGGAGTAGTTGCCTGCCTAAGACCCTCCTAGAGCCAGGAATGGGTCAAGTGGGATTTGATCCAGGGCCTGGGACTCAGAACCCATGCCCTTAACCCTTACATGATGCTATTACTACTTAGATCTGCAGATGAGGCAACAGAAGCTTGAAGACAGGAAGGAATCACCCAAGACCTAGCTGGCAAAGCTGAGAGTGAGGATATGAAATCAATATATCTGACTCTATTCGAAGGCCAGAGGAATGGAACACGATTTTTAAAATAAAAAATTAGGCCAGGTGCTGTGGCTCACACCTGTAATCCCAGCACTTTGGGAAGCTGAGGTGGGCGGATCGCTTGAGGTCAGGCATTCAAGACAAGCCTGGGCAATACAGTGAAACCCCATCTCTACTAAAAATACAAAACTTAGCCAGGCATGGTGGTGTGCACGTTGGCAACACAGCAAGACTCCGTCTCAAAAAAAAATAATTAAAAAAAACTAATCCAGGCTGGGCGCGGTGGCTCAAGCCTGTAATCCCAGCACTTTGGGAGGGCAAGGCGGGTGGATCACAAGGTCAAGAGATCGAGACCATCCTGGTCAACATGGTGAAACCCCGTGTCTACTAAAAATACAAAAATTAGCTGGGCATGGTGGCACGTGCCTGTAATCCCAGCTACTCAGGAGGCTGAGGCAGGAGAATTGCATGAACCCAGGAGGCGGAGGTTGCGGTGAGCCGAGATCGCACCATTCCACTCCAGCCTGGGTAACAAGAGCAAAACTCCGTCTCAAATTAAAAAAAAAAAAAAATTAATCTGGTTGGGCATGGTGGCTCACACCTGTAATCCCAGCACTTTGGGCGGCTGAGGTGGGTGTATCACCTGAGGTTAGGAGTTTGAGACCAGCCTGACCAATATGGTGAAAACCCATCTTGGAAAAAAAAAAAAAAATTAATCTGGCTCTAGACCCAGGCTGTTCATTGCCACACTAGGTTTTGATTGTCTGTGGCTTGTCTGTGTCTCAGACCAGAACCAAAGCTTCTGGCCTCATTCTCTCGTGTCCCTGCTGAGACTGGGGATACAAGAGAGAATCAGTGTCCTGCAAACATTGTGAACAAAAGCCCTTCTTCTCACTCACCTCAGATATTTGTGTTCCAACACTCAACTTGGATGTCATCTCCCTGGGAAATCTCTGCCCCCACAAGCCAGGCCAGTTCCCCCAGCTGGGTTCCCAAGGGCCCAGTGCGCCTCCATGCCTAGCATACTTCACCCGAATTACAGCTGCCTTTGTCTTCACTGTCCCCCGCATCAACTCCTCATGGGCAGGGTTTGGATCCACAGGGCCTGGCACAAAAGACTCAAGTAAATGTCGAATGAACCAAATAATGTGTCTCTAGGAAATGAGTAAACGAGACAGATGCGGACAGTCAGTTTTATTGCCATCTCTGGAAGGGGCTCAAATCCGCCCGATCTCTCTCAGCTTGGCTACCAGGTCCTCGGTGGTCTCCACTTTGACGCCGGCCATGCGCTGCGGTGGGTCCTCCACGCTTATCACAGAGAGCTTGGAGGTCAGGTCCACGCCCAGGTCCCCAGGCTTGATCACCTCGATCTTCTTCTTCTTGGCTTTCTGCACATGGGAAGCAACTGTTCACAGGGATTCAGAAGCCCTGCCACCCTCCTGCCACCTAATTCCCATGGGTGCCATGCCTGCAGACCAGTCCCATGGGCTGAACCCTCTGGACCCACCCACTGACCAGGACATATGAAACTTCTCACAGGGCCACACCTGGTATGAATAACTCATGCTGGCTGGGAGGCCCAACTACTGCAGCGGTCTTCCTTTAGGTAACCAATGCAGGAAGCCCTTCACTGGCTGCAGCAGACTGGCAAGCCCATCCTTTTGGTAGTAATGACTCAGTGGACTTTTGGTTGAAATGACATGCTGAAGGCTCTCAATAGGCTCAGATGATGCACTGAACCCTCCCTATAGGCTGAGATGATGCAGTGAACCCTCCCTATAGGCTGAGATGATGCAGTGAACCCTCCCTCTATGCTGAGATGATGCAGTGAACTCTCCCTATAGGCTGAGATGATGCAGTGAACCCTTGCTATAGGCTGAGATGATGCAGTGAACCCTTTCTACAGGCTGAGATGATGCACTGAACCCTCCCTATAGGCTGAGATGATGCAGTGAACCCTTGCTATAGGCTGAGATGATGCAGTGAACCCTCCCTATAGGCTGAGATGATGCACTGAACCCTCCCTCTATGCTGAGATAATACAGTGAACTCTCCCTACAGGCTGAGATGATGCAGTTAACTCTCCCTACATGCTGAGATGATGCAGTGAACCCTCCCTATAGGCTGAGATGATACAGTGAACCCTCCCTATAGGCTGAGATGATACAGTGAACCCTCCCTACAGGCTGAGATGATGCAGTGAACCCTTTCTACAGGCTGAGATGATGCAGTGAACTCTCCCTACAGGCTGAGATAATGCAGTGAACCCTCCCTACAGGCTGAGATGATGCAGTGAACCCTTGCTATAGGCTGAGATGATGCAGTGAACCCTCCCTATAGGCTGAGATGATGCAGTGAACCCTCCCTATAGGCTGAGATGATGCAGTGAACCCTCCCTCTATGCTGAGATGATGCAGTGAACTCTCCCTATAGGCTGAGATGATGCAGTGAACCCTTTCTACAGGCTGAGATGATGCAGTGAACTCTCCCTACAGGCTGAGATAATGCAGTGAACCCTCCCTACAGGCTGAGATGATGCAGTGAACCCTTGCTATAGGCTGAGATGATGCAGTGAACCCTCCCTATAGGCTGAGATGATGCAGTGAACCCTCCCTATAGGCTGAGATGATGCAGTGAACCCTCCCTATAGGCTGAGATGATGCAGTGAACCCTCCCTCTATGCTGAGATGATGCAGTGAACTCTCCCTATAGGCTGAGATGATGCAGTGAACCCTTTCTACAGGCTGAGATGATGCAGTGAACTCTCCCTACAGGCTGAGATAATGCAGTGAACCCTCCCTACAGGCTGAGATGATGCAGTGAACCCTTGCTATAGGCTGAGATGATGCAGTGAACCCTCCCTATAGGCTGAGATGATGCAGTGAACCCTCCCTATAGGCTGAGATGATGCAGTGAACCCTCCCTATAGGCTGAGATGATGCAGTGAACCCTCCCTATAGGCTGAGATGATGCACTGAACCCTCCCTATAGGCTGAGATGATGCAGTGAACCCTTTCTACAGGCTGAGATGATGCAGTGAACTCTCCCTACAGGCTGAGATAATGCAGTGAACCCTCCCTACAGGCTGAGATGATGCAGTGAACCCTTGCTATAGGCTGAGATGATGCAGTGAACCCTCCCTATAGGCTGAGATGATGCAGTGAACCCTC